TACAAGATGAATTAATTTCATATAATCGTAAGGAAATAATGTAATGAAAACATTTAAATTATTAACTGAGGTCAGCTAGAGTCATTAGTACATGAAGGAAACTAAACGATTGATTTATTCTAGTTTTAACATCTTTATCAGTTCATATTCAAATGGATCAATAGCAACTGGAAACAGCCGGAAAGTATTGCCCAGGACAGAGTTCGAAGGGGAGTGTTGGTGAGCGGCCTATGCTCCTCTACGAGGGGTAACTCGCGTAAGTAAGTAAGTAAGTAAGTATTAGGTTATATTCAGCGAATATATATATATATATATATATATATATATATATATATATGAATCAGAATTGCAATCAATCAATTGTTTTTTTAAAGATTATTTCTTCTTTCTATAGTTTTGAAGAAATGTCACTCCCGATTACTTTTTCATTAGTGGATTCATAAGCATTATTTACTTGCGTGATTTGATGAACTGTTTTAAGTCTAGATGATGGCTCTGTCAAGAATTGTCATCAGTTAGAGAATTATTGAGAATTATAGAGAACCAGAATAGTTGTTTCCCTTCATGATATGAAGATAGTAGGTTTGATTTAAAGCAAATTTGTCATTGCAAGTTGTTGAATGCTTTCTAATTTACAAATGACATTTAAGTTGTAGTAGAAGCAAAAGTTTGCTGCTTTAACGCGCAATCTAGTTTAATTTACTGATTTATCTTTCTTATTTTGGCCATTGTAATTGCGCCTTCTGGGGTTACTGCCGTTGCCAAGCTCAGATAGAGGGGGATGGATAGGCATGGAGTTAGTAACCCGATCTTGTAAAAAATTTGGCAAAAAGGATCTAACGAAAATAAATCAGCATCAAACAGAATTCCGATATCGAGGTGACTATAGAATTATTCCACGTTCTCTTCAGAAACATTTGGGAGAAAAACAAGTACTAGTAGCCTGGAAATAAAGTTTACTTGTCATGATAATAAAGAAAAGAGATATCGGAAAGTATGAGAACTACAGAGACATCACAAGCCAGATCAATCATATACCAATTAAATAATGACTCTTTAAATCATTGTTGAGCATTCTGTTGAGTGGAACTCGTCGCTATGCATCAGCCTCTATAGCGTGGATGGGAGAAAATTGTGCAGTTTTCTTTGATACCGTGAGGTGTTTGAGAAGATCGTTACCATCCTGCGAAACGCATACATGGGACTAAATTGTAAAGCTTCGCATTGAGAAGAGCTCACGAACTCACTCTAAATGAGTACCGGTGTAATACAAAGCTGCCTACTCTTGCATATCCTTTTTCCCCTGGCTTTTGATTGATATATGAAGACCTCCACATCTCAAGGCAAACACTGAATAAAGAAGACAGTTTGGATGCAAGCAGAATATTTGAACTCTGTAGATGCTCTAGCCCTTCTGTTCTACTCAAAGCACCAAATACTGGTGAAAACAGCTAGTGTAACAACAGTAGGTTTAAACATTCACAAACGGAAAAGGAAGATCCTAACGTACAACAAAGAAAGTACCGATATAATCACACCTGATGGAGTAGCTCTGATAGAAGTTAAAACTTTCTAATATTTAGGTATTATCATTGACAGATAAGAACTACCTGATGAAGGTGTAAAGGGATGGACTGGCAAAAATGGCAACATTCCTACGACTAAAGAAATATAGAACACAAAATAATTGACAGACACTACCAAGGTCACAATCTCAACACAAACTTCAACATAGTTTTGTTGTACGGAGACAAAAATTCGACAACTACTACAATCATCATCAAAATGGTGCACGTATTTGTCAACACATGTCTACGCAACATACTCCAGGTCCATTGGTCAGAAATCAGTTGTCATAATCAACTGTGGTGGACAATAAATCAGATTCTAGATGTAGAGGAAATTGGGAAAGTTCAATATAGGTGGATAGGGCAAATGTTGCAGAAATCGTCAAACCCTGCTACAAAACAAGCCCTGAATCGGAATTCTGAAGACGTAAGGAAAGAAGGTAGATGAAAAAAACGCATTCTATCGGGAATTGGCGACAAATATTAAAAGTGTCAGAAGGGGTTTTGTGGAGATTGTAGTAATTTCAACAGTTGAGATCATGAGTCAATTGAAGCTAGACCACCATGGAAAACCTGGAAGCACTGGACGGCCGTTTCGTCCTATTGTGGGACTTTTCAGCAGTGCGCATCCACGACCCCGATCAGTGGTCTAGTTGGTTAAGCGCCTGGCGCGGAACGGATAGGTCCTGGGTTCGAACCTCACAAGGCGGCGTCGTGGATGCGCACTGTTGAGGAGTCCCACAATAGGACGAGACGGCCATCCAGTGCTCCCGGGTTTTCCATGGTGGTCTAGCTTCAATTGACTCATGATCTCAACTGTCGAAATATTAAAAGGGTGAATCGTACTTGGAAACAACTGGAAAGGAAAGCGGGGGACACAGTAGGTTAGAGTTTGCTGGTCGATGTCCAATTCTCTAAGAAGAGTAAGTATAGACTTATAACCGTTAGGCCTGATTTTGAAGTCATTTGAAAAAATTGTTCACTCTAATATTTCTGGCTTGAAGATAGTATGAATTTTGCATTAAATGTTCCATGCAGTTTGTCCCCTTGACAATATTCCCAGAATATTATGAAATCATTTTATTACATTATTTTCACTTCAGTAAAATACATACCAATGAGATAAGTTGTTTCTAATCATTAATATTGGTTAGAATTCCAAAACCAAATTGTTCATCAATAAAGTACAGTTGTTTGTAATGTAAATGAAATTAGCAACTAAAGGTTTCACAGAATTTTTATAATTTCTTTGAGTGGTAGTACTAGAATATTCAAGAAAGTCTTGCTACGTACCGTAACATGATCTCTTTAGCATTTATGAAAGAAGATACAAACACGTAATTTAAACTTGCTAAGTTGAAATTCTGATTAAATAAAAAAATATCTGTTTACATTTGTTTCCAAGACAGTTGTACACTAACCGTTAACGCATTTTAAAAACAAATTTCATATTAAAACACATTTGTTTCCATAACTCCTTTGAATTCTAACAATGGAGATTTGGATTGCTTGTGGATCGCTTTGAGTAACTCTATTGTATCCATTTCAAATACCTTATTAGCGGGTGGCGTACTATGGAACTAGAAAGACTGTTTTGCCTTTGGAGACAAAAGTTCTTAGTAATATTTTTTGTTTAAATTGTTTGTTGTGTTATATTAATGGTGTGATAAGACGTGATTAACAGATTTTTGATAGATGCATTGTAGGAGATCGACTTGTGGAATCATTCAAGTCCGCAGTTATACAAAAACTTTTCGATGATATGAATTGACGTTATTGCCACATCACACATAGACTTAACTGGAACCATAGGTTACTAGATCTTGTCTTGGTGGGTCAACGATGTCATGGCTATGTTGTATATTTGAGTCGTGCATTTGATTCTACGTAGTGTTTTGAGAGGCACAGTACTAAAAATACTGGAGTAAGCAGTCGTCCACATCTCAGTTTTGTTAATGACTATTTAACTGACATCAGTTTGCAATAAATATTAAACTTCAAAACAACATTTATAAGTAGTATTGTTGCTTTCCATCAAATGTAAACCTCTAATGACAGCTTCGTATTCTAGGTTGGTAGGAAATTTCAGCCAAATTTATTAAAATGGCCAATTATTGAAATTAAGTAGTAATGAATACAAATTGACCACCGTTCAGTACTACTCCATTAGATTTCTGAAAATTTAAGAAAAAATGACTACAACACGTGACTTTTTTTATTGACAGAAACACCATTGCTCACAACTTGACTTATACTTGTCATTGTAGTCTTATTACTTCCCAAGCTTTGTTTCTCAAGGAAAGAGCGTTTGTGATCAGTTTAAAGGTTGATCTATATGAAAATTTCGAGGGGTAAATGATTAATAATACGGGAAAAATATTTATTTAATAAAGAACTCAACAAGAACAATTTAGTCAACAGTATCAACCCTAAGAATAAACGGTTCACGGCTGCTTATATAATAGATGGTGGAAATGAAAAGTTTTCTACTTGTAAAGTTTAAAAAATATTCAATGTATAATGTCAATATCATTTCTATCATCGAATTGTATTTTGAAAGAATACATAAAGGTGGAAGTGAATCATTTTACCAATAAAAACCAAGCTGATTTAGAATGTTTTCTATTCCTAAATGAAACAGGAAACTTGGAGATCTCGGTTGAGATCCAATTTTATGGCATATTTAGAAATGAATAACATTCACAAGTAACTATCTAAAATTGTTATTCGAAATGAAAGAATATTGGTTGTATAATGTTTGTATTTGAGATGTTTGTCACTTAAAATTTCAAACCTCCCATAGATTTTCATTGTAGTATATGTCGTAATTAATTCTGAAATTGGTGTAGTCTGATGTAAGCTATTGAATGTTCTACCTGAACCAAGAAATAACACTTATTTTGTAAGTTGACGAAGATGGTGCACATTATGGCATGTCAAACAGTGTCCGAGGGCGTTTATTCAAATGGTGAGTAGGCGAATATTGATAATTAATCGATAAATAATATTACTTACTTTAGATTGGTTCATTATGACCGAATAATTAATGTCAATTAGCCTTAGTCTACTATTATTGGTTTAAGTAATTGTTTTCTGTTCAAATTATGTAGCAATCAAATTTTGTTAATTTACTTACGCCCACATGTGTTGTCTTAGTCAATGACACTTTAAAGTTGATCATTACTTGAATGCTGCCACCCTGCAAGTAGTTGAGTGATACGAAACCGTTAATGACATTAATTTAACCAACCATAATGTAATTAACTAATTTAAACAAAAATAAAGGATTATCATTGGTTAAATATTCAATAAAAACTAATATAATGTCCATCACAGTATTTTGAACAAAAATATTTTTTTATTTGAAAAATTCAAACAAAAAAAACAAATCAGAATATATTTGAAAACATCATTTGTATAAGTAATCAAAATATGAATCTACAAGAAGTGGAAGCATCATATAATGAAATAACCTCATCAGCATTGAAACTTATCATGGAGATTTCAATCAATAAACTGAAGAATTTTCAAAGTACTTTACAACCATCAACAGGACCACTTATAAGATCAATAGAGAATAAAAATAATTTATTAATGGATAACTCCAATAGATCAACTACAGTTGATTCATCTCAACATATCTCTTTCAAAAAAACATCTACTAGTTTTTCACCAAGTAATCGGTTATACAGGATAATGGTAATTTTAAAAATTGCTAAAAAAGCAAGATCTGTGTTATTAAACCGAGAAGCACTTAATACACCACAAACGGATAATAAATCAGTTGATGTACAAAACATTTCCTCTTCCGAAAATGACTCAAACAATCATTCATATAACACACAACAATGTGATCCTGTGAAACAACCTAGAACACCAAATCTGAGTTCAATTCAAACAAAAACGCATTCAGAATTACGAGTTTTACATTCAAACAAACAAAATGAACAAGTGTACCAATGTGTCTATGATTCTGTTCCAAACAACTCTTCAGTATGCACTAGCAATAAAAGAGCACTTGATTCTAATCCATCTACTTCGATACCTGAAAAACGTGCATTTTTAAATTTTCGAAGTGAAAATCCTATGAAATGTGATAAATCATCACATCAAGATACATTAAATGTAATGTATAGTTTAACTACTCCATACAATACAGGGAATATGGAAAATAGTCAAGTTAAACCAAAATTTAACCAACATAACGATAACGATGATGAATATGACGATCCTAATGATAATGTTATTATGTATTCAAAATCTTACCCCTTGTGCAAATGTCGATCATCAATCCGAAATTCTGAAGTATGTGGTTTAGGAAATAGTCTAATCGCATCAAATGAAGTATTATTACCAAGTACTTCTCTTCAACAAATGAATCATTCAATGGATTATGAAGAAATTAGTAATGATTATGAACGAGATATGTGTATATGTCTTTCCAATTCACCAAATTCACGACCATTGATTACTGGAATAATATGAAACAATACATACAATAATAATTATCCTCTAGGCGATAAAATATTTTAATTAATGTATATGGTAAATTATTGTAAACGACTGTGATATAAAGTCATATTCACATTAACATCAATATATATATATATATATATATATATATATATATATTGTTTACATGTGATTGTACATAAATTATGAGCACATCAATCAATCTCAGGGCTTAAACTATTCACATTCAATCGCCTTATGGTTATTCACATGGCCATGCATACAAAAAAGAAACTATAAATTGAAATTCTCCTGTCGTTATATTCTTCGAAATGAAAATCCATTTTTCTCCTTCATGATTCTTTTTTTCAATTTAATTACAAGGAAGAACGATAAATAGGAGTAATTCAACGGTGATCTATCTGTGATCCATTCACTCTAAAATATATTTCTTTAAATGATTTGAATTTTAGAATGTAAAGCAAAATACTGTAATATATAAATATCTGTTTTGCTCTTAAATTTATGCATTTATTATTTGTATTTAATGGAAGGCAAGATTTATTAGTTTAACCAATGTTAACATATAGAAAGAGTTAAAATGACTGTTCAGTATGATTCGTAGACAACCATATTCAGTTTATGTATGAATAATGACATCTGCAAATGTTTGCTAAGATATATCTAGTCAACATGCTAGTTGTTTTAAATAATTAAATACTTCAAATAATTTCATATTTTAACCGAGCAATTTATGTGTACTTTTATAGCTTCAGATAAATCTAGTCTGTTTCTGATTGCACCTATTCGCCTAATAATTATGGTAGACCCTAGATGTGGAAATATAACAAAACCTAAATATCAGTATAAGGTTGTGGAGATTGTTGACTTTAAATTGATGTCAAGAGAGGGTCAATGTTAGACCACCATTGAAAACCTGGAAGCACTTGATGGTACTAGTCTAACACGGATCTATTCATAATATCAATCTTAATTCAACAATCTACACAACCCTATACTGATAATTATCATGTGCTCATTAGTGAATAGTATCAAGATGAATCTCATGGAGTTTTAGTGAGAAGTCGTTACCAGTGGATTTCAGCCGAGTCTGTGTAGAGGCAGTTAGTCACCGAAGACAATGTTGAACGGTCACGCAATACCATAGGTTGGTTAAAAGTAGACATTAACGCCGTCAGATGCCATCTCAGTGGCGTTCGCGTGCAACACCAAAGGTCCCGCGCTCGAGTCCCGTGTATGAGGCATGGGCCCGCACTTCTGAGGTGTCCTATACCTGGACAGGACTGCCGTCCACTGCGTTCGGGCTTCAAATAGTGGTCTAACGTCGATTCATTCATGATATCAATACAAGCTAAATACTTCAATAGTCAATATTTTATCAATTTAATGATTCGCCTGAATAACCATTTTCAGAATATTATTTCTATAGAAACTAATCAGCTGTTTAGATGAGATCCATAGTTTTTTTTCAAAATTAACACTGACCACGTGATTAATTGGCATTAGGAATAAAACTGAATTGAATATTAATTTCAAACTTTAGCATACTGAATTTTCCAAAACTATCTGTGTATAAATTGTAGTGCTTTGGTTAGTATACTATACTAAAATGAATGAATATACTTCATGAAGTAAATAAAAATGCCTTACATAACTATTATGGTCACATTTGATTTTAAAATGTCACATGATGTCAGCTGATCGATTTGTGTACAAACAACAGGTAGTTCAGTAAGAAAATAAGAATAGCTAACTGACCCAATTTCGGAACTAAGAATTAATGTAGTATTCAAAGACTTAGGTAAAATCAAATAATTGTGGAATATGATACATAATGTTCCCATTATCATATTGAAGGAAGTAAGAAGAAACATTTAGGCAAAATAACATTAATTCAATTTATTTCATCGAGTTCTCGTCAACTGCTTACAACCTATAATGTGTAAAAATAAAATATTGTACGAAAGAATATTCCACAATATTGATAATAGCAGAATACTAAAGAACTACAAGCAAGTGGTTAGGTGATGAACAAATGTTAATAGTAAGTAAGAAAAAAATAAATAGGTCTCTATTAGTTTATTTAAGTGTTTGTTATCGAGCTTCAGAAATGTAGTTTGTGTTCGAAAGAAGATAGTTGCCAATTTCTCTCTACCTTGGTGACAAAAACGTCTCTTCGTTACATCATGAAATTTTTTCACTTAGCGTTGTTTGTTTATATCTTCCCATTGATGTTTAGGACTGCAATCGTTCAGTCTCTTATTGACATATGTGCATCCTGTGAGGATTGCCTTAATATTACCTAAGTCACAACCAATATAAGCAAAAATGGATGGTGGCTAGCAGTGGAACCCAAGACACACGTTTCGTCCTATTTGGCACTCGTCAGCTGGATGTACTTGCATCCTAGATCTGATGTTTACCCCGGGACTCGAACCCAGTACCGTTCGCTTCAAACGCAATCACGTTATCTACTTAGCTGCTGAGTTCTGGTATCCACCTGAAATTTTGTTCAACTCTTTCAATTGATTGTAATGCTACATCCATTTTTAAACTCTTCTAGATTAACGATTTTATTTTAACTAATTTAGCTTTACTTATTCTATCCTTATTGACTATTATCATTTGTTCATTACCTAACCATTTGCTAGTAATTCCTTAATATTTTGTCATTATTATTATTGGCTTTATTCAATGTTATATTTCTGGTAAAATGTAGAATTCTCAGCATAAATTATTTCAACAAGTTCCCTTTTTTATTTCTAAATCGATCCATGAAATAAATATTGAATGGTCGCCAGTTAGATATTAGCAGTTCGGGAATCGACTCTTGAATAATATACATTCTTTTCTATGCATATTGCCAGCAACCACGATGTCTGTGAATGGGTACTTTTGTAACTTGTAAAGCGAAATATCGTAAACATGTTACAAACGCTCTTGAATAGGTTATGCGACTAATGGGCATAATGATGTGTTAAAACAAACAAAAAACCAGATAACTTGTTGAAATATCCAAATAGCAGGGACAAGTAGCCCAGATATTCAAACACGACGCCTGGAATTATTATCAGTATTGTGGAATGTCCTTCCGTACAATATTCCACTTATTCTCTTCAACCGATTTACATTCTTGTTATACTATACTATTCCATGTTCATAACACCTTCCAACTAAACTCATTTATTCAAGTTATTTCAACTCATTCTGTCATTTTAATTTTAACATATTACAGATTGTAAACAGTTGATGGAGAACCCAATCAATTAAACTGAATTCATATTATTCTTTACTGAAATCCTGATTCTTGTTTTCATCAATTATGCTATCTCCAAATCGATAGATTTAAAATTTATTTCTTATTCATTACAAATCAAAACAAAACAAACAAACAAAAAGAAAACTTTAAAGAAAATCTAATGAATAGCCAATAGAATTTCATTGTCATTCATTAGGATTATTCCATAGATAACAAATTGTATTATTACACTATGAAATATCAAAATAAAATCTAATCCTATTAACATATAGTAATATTTTATTAGTGAATCTTCATAATAATAAAAATAATAATCACAACTTCCTACTTGTAGATTAGATTCTAACTAATGTCCTAAATCTATGCTGAATTAAGTCATAGAAACAATAATCCAATTGGTTAATTTAATCAATTTGATAAAAATTATTTAATATCAATAGTTAAGATCATGAATCAGTTGAAGCTAGAATACCAATAGTTGAAATCATGCGCATTGCTGAGGAGTCCCACAATAGGACAAAACGGCCGTCCAGTGCTTCCACGTATCCCATAGTGGTCTAACTTCAGTTGACTCATGATCTCAACTATTGAAATTTATTTACTCCGATTTATTCAGTTGAAAAAATAATAACTAAAGAAGGAACGAATTGAGCGAAGAAATTTCTTTTCAATTAGTTTTTCATCATGGCTCTACACTAATATATATACGTTTTACAATAATAATATAATACTCATCGAGTGGATACGTTACGTAATAATTACATAATGACATTTAAATTAAAGAGGACTATTAATATTCAAAGTGATCAAGAAGTTGCTAAGTTGTGTAATGTAAGAAACAAAGAAGGAACAGAATTTTAACGGATGGTCAATAGGATGGTAGTTACGTAAGAATCAAGAGATGAACGTTGAGAAGTTATTAAGTTCAAAAGCAACAGAAATAAAATTACAAAAGTTAAAAAAATGGAAGAAGTATGAAAAACAGTTCTTTTGAAGGAAATCTTAAACTGATGGCCAGGGCAGGGAAAGTGGTTGTACGAATCTCTTTTGAATGCAAAGGTCAGGTTTGTGAACATGGATTGCGATGGCTTCCGCAATGTGCAAGAGGCGCACTCGTAAACCATGTGGCAAATTAGATGGGATATTGTAGATAACCTTAAAAGCTTTATTCAATTCGACTTGATGACCTGTGTCAACCAAGTGAGAGAGAATAGAACTTTTAATCACTTTTATCTGTCCTTTGTTTAACCACGATGGATGATGTTCAGTAATGCGATGACGGACTTGCCGAATTGTACGCCCTATATAACTGGCTCCACAAGAGCAGTTGAAACGATAGATACACATAGATTTGGCGAATTCAGGCAGTCTGTCTTTGTTGATTGTTCTTATCTTGGGATAGAAGATTGCATTTAATCTGGCAGCATTAAATGTTTTTTGTACGGCTCTTCTTAGTTTCTGAGTCAACGTTTCTTCAATGGTGTCATTTATGAATTGTAGTTTTATGAATAGTACCTTCTTATGGACGGTGGGTATCTTTGTCCTTGTTTTCTTCTCCATAGTATGTTTGTCGATGAATTTCATGGGATATCCATTCATGCTAAGTAGGTTCCGAATATTATTCAATTCTTCTTCGATGGTGTCTTCAGAGCAAATCATTCTAGCCCGATGTGTCAAGATTTTTATCAAATTCCTTTTGTATCTGATTGGAACTGCACTATAGAAATGAGTGTATTGTCCAGCTGCAGATTTT